GCTCTTCTCTCTTAATTCAAAGGCAGTGAGAGAGAAAAGTGTGTGAAATTACCTTACCCTTAATAATATAATATATTATAATTAATAATATAATGTAATATAATATATTGTATATACATATAATATTTATAATGTTATAATGTAATGAAATATAATACTACTACTAATAATATGATATAATAATTATGTATTTATATTACATCTTAAAGGTTCAGGACCTGCTTATCTCCGCAAAGGGATCTTCCCCCTATGAATCAGTGCGTACCTATACAACACCGCCTAAGCTCTGCGAGTGCAGCTTTTTTCTGAATGAAGCAGAAAGCGTTTGAGGACTGGGACATCCGTAGGGATACCAAGGTGCTTGTTTATAAAGCTATTGTCCTCCCAACCCTGCTATACGCCTGCGAAACGTGGACTGTCTACAGACGTCACATGCAACTCCTAGAACGATTCCATCAGCGCTGCCTCTGGAAAATCCTGCAAATCTCTTAGGAAGACAAGCGGACAAACGTCAGCATGCTGGAAGAAGCAAAGACCACCAGCATTGAAGTGATGGTCCCCTGCCATCAACTCCGCTGGACCGGCCACGTTGTCCGGATGCCCGACCACCGTCTCCCAAAGCAGTTGCTCTACTCCGAACTCAAGAACGGAAAAGGGAATGTTGGTGGGCAGGAAAAGAGATTTAAAGATGGGCTCAAAGCCAACCTTAAAAACGCTGGCATAGACACCTAGAACTGGGAGGCCCTGGCCCTTGAGTGCTCCAGCTGGAGGTCAGCTGTGACCAGCAGTGCTGCAGAATTTGAAGAGGCATGAATAGAGGGCCAAAGAGAGAAACGTGTCAAGAGGAAGGCACATCAAGCCAACCCCAACTGAGACTGCCTTCCACCTGGAAACCAATGCCCTCACTGTAGGAGAAGATGCAGGTCAAGAATAGGGCTCCATAGCCACCTATGGACCCACCCTGGAAGATTATTCTACTCAGACAATGAGGCATCGCCTAAGTAAGTAAGCACCTAGATATTTTATGGGGAGGCACTGCTCTTTCTCCCCCCACTGTCTCATGCATGGTTGGTGGGGACGAGGGAGAGAGCCTTCTCAGTGGTGGCCCCCTGGCTCTGAAACTCCTTCCCTAGGGAGATCAGACAGGCTTCAACCTTGTCCTCCTTTTGTAGTCAACTAAAAACCTGGATGTTCCGGTGTGCTTTTGATTAAGGAGCTCACCAGTAACTTTCCTGTCCCTACTTGAAGTTCTGCATTTTACACTGGCCCACACTTTACACTGGCATACGTCCTATCTTAACATGTGTTTGACAGCATTTCCTGCCCAATTTACTGTATTGTAGCACTTTCCCGCGCTCCTGTAAAAATGTATTGCACTCATTGAGTCTGTACCTCAGCTATGTTTCTTTCAGTCGTATTGTTTTTATATTGCTTTTAATTTTGTTGTTATTTGTTTTATCTGATGTTTTAATTGGTTTAAAGTTTTTTACTTGTGTGTTTTAATTGTAATTTTGGGCTGGGGTTGGGGTTGGCGGGGTATAGAAATAAAAGTGTTATTATTATTATTATTATTATTATTATTATCTAATATTACAATATAATGGTATAATACAATATAGTAATATTTAATACTGATATTGTACTATGCTAATAATATAGTAATTATATGTATATATATATATCTTGTAAGCTGCTCTGAGTCCCCTTCGGAGTGAGAATGGTGGCATATAAATGTTGTAAATAAATAAATAAACCTTTGCAAAAGTATGTGCGTATGTTGGTTGGTTGGTCTGTATGTTTGTAACGCAAAGGCTTGATGGATCTGGACCATAGTAGGCACACATACTCTTAATTATCTAACTTTAAATAATGCAGGGGTTTGAACTAAAAGAATCACCACTTTCAGGCTCAGGACAGAAGGAAAGAAAAGGAACAAAGTGGATTGGCTGCTACTAGGTGAAGGATTCATTGAGTGTTACTAGGTGAAGTGGCCCTCTGTGATGTCACTGGGAAAGAAAGGGGTGAAGCTGCTTGGTGAAGAGAGAAAGAAAGAAGAAGGTGTATGAGGAAAAGCAAGGGAAGAAAAAAGGAAGGAATGAAAGCGAAAGGGAAGATTGCCCCAGGCACTGCTAATCAAGGTTGTCAGTTGAAACATTCACACCTAGCTCCAACAGACAAGAGTCCTTTGTCCCAACCTAGTCACTCCACAGATATATAAACCCATTTTCCTAGTTCCAACAGACCTCACTACCTCTGAGGATGCTTGCCATAGATGCAGGTGAAACGTCAGGAGAAAATGCCTCTAGACCATGGCCATATAGCCCGAAAAACTTACAACAACCCAGTGATTCCGGCCATGAAAGGCTTCGACAATACATGGAAAGGGAAGTGTTTGAGAGAAATGGAGGAAGGAAAGAAAGAGTCACAAAGAAAGCTTGCCTATTGCCGTCGAAGTATTGTGAGGCAGGCTTTGTCAGAGCTGGAGAAGGGAGAAAGTAAGTGGGCAGCAGTCCCAACAATGCTACTTGCTAGTATATTATATGAATGCATGAGCTTCGAGGGTTCACTGTCTTACAGGAAATATTGTCATGCTATACACATATGCACTACAATATAACTGCAATGATAATATCATTTATTACCTATGCACTCTCCAAATAAATAAATATATCTATTTTTAAATCTCAGGGTGGGCAATGTACGTCCCTACAGATATTGCTGGACAGTAACTCCCCAGTAACTTTCTTGTCCCTACTTGAAGTTCCACACTTTACACCGGCCCGCATTTTACACCAGCATATGTTCTACCTCAACACGTGTTATGACAATATTTCCTGCCCAGTTTACTGTATTGTTGCATTTTCCTGCACTCCTGTAAAAATGTATTGCACTCA